CGGCAGCCCCAGCAGCCCCCCGAGCAGCAGGAGCAGGAAGGTCACGACTGTGGGGGAGAGGTGGCAGTGAGGGGCTGGGGAGGGGCCAGGGGGCTGCGGGGCCAGGGTTGAGGCCGAGGGAACACCAGCCAGGCGCTTCACTTACAGCCGATGATGATCCCGATCCAGCCATCGTCGTGCACGTGGGGGAACTCTGCAGAGACAGAGCGGGTGGCTGAGACCGGGCTGCAGAGGGGTCTCATGCTGGAGTGTCCCCTCCGCAGCAGATGCTTGCCGGGGGGATCCCTCCCCGCTGGGGTCCCACCACGGCACCTACCTGTGCCCATGTACCAGGGGTCCATCTCAGGGGGGATGAGGATGGTGGTGAGGGGAAGCATGGAGGCGCAGCTCGACTCTACCAGCTCCCCCCGGATGCTGTAGGGCCGCACGACGCTGGTGGGGCGGAAGATGGCTTTGAGGGGGACGAGGCTGTTGAACTTCACCCCCGAGAGGCAGCCTGAGAAGCCGGGCGTGTTGTAGCGCTGGATCTCGGGGTCAATCACGCCGGTCTCTGTGGGTGCACAGAAGGAGAAGGCTCATCCCCTGTGGAGGGCAAGGATGGTGCTGGGCAGAAGAAACCCCGGTGCCCGCGGGGATCCCAGTACAGGAGGGGGTGGCCAAGGGCAGGACCCAGCTCACCCATCACGCGCCCCAGGTACAGGTTTTTGGGTGAGTCCAGCTTGCTGTCCACGAACAGGGAGAACTGCTGCTCCATGACGGGAAGATAGTCCACCTGGGAGGCAGGTGCACAGGTCAGCGCCCGCTGAGCCTTGTCCACCTCCTGCCACCCTGCCCGTGCCTCCTCCCATCCTGACCCCCAACCCTGCAGCCCCCCAGGCCCTGGCAGGGAGGATGCCCTGGCCCCGTACCTGGGTGTACAGCGTGCGGTGCAGGCGCGTGATGTTGACGTGGTGGGGCCTCCCATCCGTCACCGACTTGGTGGTGAGGGCGAAGATGTAGGGGCTGGTGCCCAGCTGGTAGCGAAGCTGCAGGCTCCCTGCGTGCAGAGCGGGGCTGTCAGCAGTGCCGGGGCTCTCAGTGGGTGAGTCCAGCCCCTCCGTAGGGCTGGTGACTGGCATGAGGGGGGAGGAGGGTCCCATGCGGCCCCAGCGCCCGGGGAGGTCCCCATAGGCTCTGGGTGAGCCCTGGGGTGGGGAGCCCTGTCCTCACCATCATCCTTGATGAGCACGGCCATGTAGTCCTTGACGAAGGAGCTGACGTAGAGCAGCACGGCGGGCGCCGAGGTGGTGCTGAAGCTGAAGCTGACCTCCTCGCTGGTGAGGTTGTAGCCAGGCAAGGGCTGCCAGGGGCTGCTGATGATGCTGGCGAACTCGCGGGCGGCGTACAGCGACATCGGCAGGATGTTGTACCGCACCCAGGTGCCCTCCTCGAAGTACCCGCCAATGTCTGGGGGGAACCACCGGGTGATGGGAGGCCCGG